TTTCAATTTGTAGCGGTTTTTAAGATAATAGACAAAACTTGCATTATACCCCACTGTTATATTTTTAAGCCATGTCGGACAGGTATGGGTTTGCCGGATTGGCTATCGGATACATTTGTTCAGCTATTATACCCCAATTACGATTGTGGCCAAGTTTGGTTAAAAATTTAGCCCAGTTGTTTCAGAGGAGAAGATTTTTGGTAAAGTTAACGTACGGACGAGGGACGGCAAGTGATGAGAAAAGCTCATTTAGTCCTTTTGGCCAGGTGAACTAAAACTATAATCATGAGAAAGTTTTACTACCGAAAATTGACTTTCAATTTTTTTTACAATTTTTTTTCTTTAATGTGAAGATAAACTAATATGATCATAATATTTCAATAATTTGAGTTGGGTTAAAAGTAAAATATATCATAGCCGCTCTATTTCTGATCAAAACAATTATATACTACATTTATCAGTGGAAATCTAGAGACACTTTTATTAAAAATGTCCTGAAACAGTATATTGAGAAATGCCTTTATTTTAAGGTGCAAACTGAACAAAGGAAATAAGGGATGTCAAACAGTTTACATACTTATATGACAAGTAAACAAAATCTATCGAGATTAGATGACGATTTCTAATGGTAAATAACAGCTGTTTACATGAAACTATATATTTGACAGAGAAATTAATATGACATGTCATGGTCTGGTTTGAAGGGTGGCGTGATTGCAATTCTTACTTTCTTTCTTTTCGTTGAACTACAATGTATCCGAACTTCCTGGTAAAAAATGATAACCAATAAAAAATAAAACACGACCATATATATGTACTAGTATTAATGTCAATAAATTGAAAATCTGCAATCTGAGCTCTAGCATAGAATGTCCTTTAGAGTTATAGCAGTTTACTGGCTAAAGGACAAACATATATATACATATGATATACCAATCAAAAGCAGTGCAAATGATTTGATATAAAATAAAGGCAATTTGCTATATTTCACCAATGGGAGTATTTAGATTTTCAAAGTCAATGATTTCATGGAGAAAAATAGAACAAAAGTTTCAAGATAAGAAGTTACTTTGCAGAAGCACTTTCCAATAGAGTAACCCCCTTTAATCTTTATGTGTCGGTCCCAATGCAGAAACCTGTAATTTAGTGGTTGTCGTCGGTTGCTGTCTGTCACAAATGTTTTTCGTTTATTTTTTGTCATAAACAAATTACTTGTTGGTTTTCTCGTTTAAATTGTTTCACCTTTTGTCATGTCGGGCACTTTTATAGCTTACTATATGGTATGGGTTTTGCTAATTATTGAAGGTTCTGTACAGTGACCTATTATAGCTGCTTATATCCGGATCATTTGGACTTTGATAGGTAGTTGTCTCACTGGCAATTCATACCATATCTCTTCATTTTTATATAGCACTGCTACACTGGATATTTTACTGGAAGCTTTCTAAATTTTAAAACTAAAACAAATATATAAAATTCTAAATACGAAAACATGTTTTTTTATATTTCATTCAATACAATTTTTTTTAAATTACCAATCAATAAAATGAAACAGTTACAAAAAAAGCGAAATTAAGATCTTGTAAAAAGGGGACAACAATCTATTCCACAAGTTTTCTATATTATTTTTGCACGTGGAATTTTCGACACCCGTGAAACTTTGTTGCTCGAAAACCGTGCAAAACAGCGTCAACATGGGTTATTAACATATATTTAGGAGGAGAGGGTTGACCCTGGGTAAATTCATATCTAGAAATCTAATTAAAACACCCAGTCTGCTGACATCCTTCAAATTAAACTTTTTTTTGTAAAGAATACAAAGAAAACAAACTGCTTGAAAATCTGACAAACGTAATATAATAGTATTAACAGTAGTTTAACACCTTGGGGAGGAATTAAAGTTTACAAATCAATACCAGACGTGTGTTGTACTGAGGAACGAACCTTGTCACACAGATAGTTAATATTTCATAAGGATCAGTTTATGACAACTAATTAATTGTAAAGATTTATAATTGCTGTCTCTTTTTGGTTGTGATTTCATCAGATAAGAAATTAAACATACGTGCTCTGCATTTCATTATGTATTTATCACATCAAATCCTCTCGCACACCTTATAAGTACTTACAAACTATTGCTCGTCAAAACACAAATGTATCGTTGAATATTATGTACAATTAACACTCGGTCTCATATGGTATTTTAAACCCTCATAAAATTGAACCGAGGGTCAAAATACCATATGGAAAATTTACCCCTTGCTCAAAATTACATATGAGAAATTGAACCTGGTCTCAATCTTCCATTGCAGAAATTAAACCCACTGTATTTCCATTTAATGAAACTACATATACCATTATGTTACGTTCCATTTATTATCTGGAATGAATAAACAAGGGGGGGGGGGGGTTCAATTTTCCATGGGGTTCAAAATACTTTAAGACACTGGTTTTTGGTGGGGTTCATGTTGTATAGTCTTATGTTTTCTGTATAAAAATAAGAAGATTACCAATTAGACGATTCTACACCAGAGACCAAATGACGTAGAAGGTAACAACTATAGGTCACCATACGGCCTTAAACAATGAGCAAAACCCATACTGCATAGTATGCTATAAAAGATCCCGAAATGAAAATGTAACACAATTCAATCGAGAAAACTAACTACCTGATTTATGTACAAAACATTAACGAAAAATAAATATGATATACACCAACAAAAGACAACCACTGAATTACAGGCTCGTGACTTGGGACAGGCACATACATAACGTAGCGGGGTTGAACATGTTTGCTGACGCCAAACCCCCTCCCCCTGACATTGGACAGTGGTGTAACATAAGAACAAACTATAAAAATCAGTCGAAAAGGAATTAACTCAGCAGTCTTTTGCGCCAAGTACTATTTTCAAAATGTATCATTCGCGCCAAATATTATTTTTCAAAGATGCCAATTGCGCCAATTTGCCTGTACTAATATTTATCGTACATAATAGTCACAAATAAAATGTGGTACTCTAAAAGAATAATTTATGGAATAAGGGACTATTGTTGCAAGATATGCCAAAATGATAAGAAAGTAGAAGTTTTGCTAATTATGTGTTGACCACATATGTTGATGACTATGCTTTATTTCCACTATCCGTATGGACTGAAACTCCATCAACTGGGAGACGCACTAATAATTGACCAGAGTCATTTCATAAGCACTACAATGAACTGGTTTTTTTTCATCGCATCCATCTAGTATGTTTTTATTTTTGGACAATATCATAAATGTTTAAGCGTTTACTTACATTATATTGACCAATGCTAATGCAACAGCAGTTAGAAGCAGGTATAATTTAGAAAAAGGAAACTTGTGTTGTTGAAGCATACCAAAATTATAGAAGAGGACAACTCAGCCGTAAAGATTATGTTTCTTTCTTAAATTACAAATTTCAGCCATTAATATAATTATATTGTTTGACTGGAAAAGGTTTTGCTTTGTTAGCATTCTTTAAAACGAGTTTTATTTAACCACTGTAAATGAATTTTAACATGTAAAATGACGGTTCATTGCTTTTTATTAAAATAAATTGGTGCAATCGTATACTTTATTTTTGGTGCAAATGATACAAAACATTTTGAAAACTAGTGACGCAAACGTGGCATTGGCGCAATTGAGTTGTGGCGCAAAAGGACGCATTTTTAGCGCAAAGAATTTCTCCCTTAGATGAATACAACGTACAAAACAAACCTTAACAAAAATACAAACGACACAAAGTACAGATATGAGAGTACGCAGTTACTGAAAGCTAGTTCAAAGCATATAACAACAAACAAAAAAGGCATGTATCTAAGACTTAAATATCAGAACACATCCAATATCCAATGGATTTAGTGCAAAGACGTCGTTAACAGTCAGAAAAAACATGACATTGTGCAATGCATAAAAAATATGTATCGACAGATCGTAGGACCTTGCATGTACATATGTATATTACAATAATATTTAGTTTGGATTTAATTTACTGATAACAAAATCAATATCTATACCGATAAATATAATATTCAAAGATCAAATTACAGTGTTGAATTGGTAACCTTTTAGGAATAAGTTTATTTAAAGAATCGATACGTTTACCCGGATCGTTTCTAAATTTTTGGGCTCAGTAAACAGCATCATTGTGAAAATTAGGATGTGCTTTCCCATTTGTAATTTCCAAACCAAATCTTTTGTATCTAGTAAAGGCTTTAAGTAATTTGTGAAAACGAAATCCTTGACTTAATAATTTACCAGTAATACATAGATTACATTCATTGAAATCAAAAACGTCTAGATGTGTAATCCATACACGGGCATAGCGAACGCGTTTGGATATATAAACACCGTAAAATGATGCCAATGGAACATCACCGTCCAAAAAGGGTAAATTGATGAAAGAGAAAAACGTCCCTTTTGTCATAAATGATTGTGTAGAGTAGGAGTTGCCCATGTAAAACTGAAATATCTTAATATAGGAAAGGACAGTTTTTGCTGTTTATATTTGATGTATTCAAAGCAAGTTCCTTTGGATAAATTTCAGCAGTTCATTTAGAGAATTCTTGATTATTTAACGAAAAAACATAATCAAGATAACGGTAAGTGTTGTTAAATTAATCGATTAAACGGAATTTAGACGGGTCTTTACTGAGTTTGGCCAAAAACTGTGATTTTTAACAGTACAGGAACAAGTCTGATATTAGAGGGGTGCAATTGGTTCTCATAGGAATACCTACAACCTGTCGATAAACTGTATTGCCGAAACGTAAATAAATGTTGTCAAGGAGAAAATTTACAGCTATAATCATCTCATCATGTATGTTGTGTGTTGTATACTTTTATCTTTTTTGGTCTTTTTTTCGTCTTTCGTCAAGGCATTGCCAGTTTGTTTTCGACTTATGAGTTTGAATTATTCCTTCGGTATCTTTTGCCTCTCTTTTACTGTGTGCAAGAAGATAGTTTATGATCTACTAGATTGAATTTGAACACATTTTATTTCTCGTATTTGTTTCTAATTTGTTGAACTTTAATATAAAGTTCACATACACATTTTAGTTAAAGTATGTATACATAATTAATTCAACTGATATAATAAATTATGGTTTCGTTAATAGAACCATATGCATTTCATCCGTTTATTGTTAACGAGCCATGCTGCAAATTTGTCTACTACATATTTATCCACTGATTTTCCTGTTACACGCTAATTTACATCAGTCGCCGTATAGATTCGTATCATATAAGCATATTACATTCGACAAACAGTATGACATGTTAATCCATGTAGTTAAACCTGTCTTCTATTGCATACGATTCTTCAGCTGGTCCGTCCTGTCCAGGTGATGAAACACCGCCTTTATTCTGAGCTTGTTCATTTTCTCCTCCTTCTAATGTCTCATACAAGTCAAACGAGATCATTCCAATCACTATGACATTTTTCAGTGAAAATATGGATATTCCACGACTTAAACCATGCCATAAGATCATCCGGGTTATTAGTAATGGTAAATTGACAACGAATGCGAGTAACACTTTGTGAATCATAACAAGCTTATGTGAAAGTTTTGCTTCTCCATATTTAGTTTTAGAAAGAGTGACTAGCGGTATAGTTGGTAATATAAAATTAATAAGCGCGATACCAATAATAGCATCATCCATTCCTGTTGGAAACGTGTCCCTTTCCTCTTTAAAAAACAAGATTTCCATACTGTCCACGCAGTCAAGAATATCAAATATTACAGTCCCCGTCAATTCATCTATATATTTTCTTCTTGGGGAACCAGGCTTTGCATCATGATTTGTCGCTAACAACAATGCAAATATAACGCCGCCTAGAGCGATAGTAGTTTTCAATGTATTTGGCCCGAAAAATATGTCTTCATTTAGAAGAAAAACAAAATCCTTGAAGGCAATTCCTACTTTAATTGCGAGTAATGTAGAATAAGCAAACCACGATATTGGAACAAATAGCAGACTAGCAGCCTCTTGATTAGTCTCATTATCTCCCTTTGTTTTCGAACGATTTAGATGTCTGTACGAAAGAAAAAAACACATGCATAGCACTATGGTAACCACTATATCTGCTGCGATACACGCAAGCCAAGCCTTTCCTTTATATGTTACTAAATAATAATCAAGTATTCCTGCTTGCAGAAAATGAAAACATAGACATAGAAATCTGCTTGGAAAATGTTTCACGGATTTACAACATTTTGTAAAACAGTTTGCCATTTCTATCAACGTTTCTGGTAAAATATCAAATCTTCAGTTTGGAGAAAGCTACAAAGAGAAAACAATATTGTTGGATCATTTAAAGTGTCAAATTATGTCCTAATGACGTTTACTTAAATCAATAATATCAGATTTCCTTAGTACATTGTATTTGTTGTTTGGTATCTTCTGTGTAGCAAATTATGACTTCTGAATTTGCAGTGATAAAGGCGCGTTTCTAAATTTACTTTAACCAAGAACGCCAAAGCCGAATGTTTATTTTAGAAAGCCAAGATAACGCCCTAATTTATGTTTAGACACACTGTTAAAAAATCGAGATAGAATATAGGAATATAATTTACCCTTTAAACAAATATGGAAATAGTCAAATCAATCAATCCATTAAAAAATATATCTGAGTTAAAAAATGTTACCCTTTAGATTAGGTTAATTTTTATGAAAGACACTGACCATTCATCTTTTTTGTGGAGGTAAGGATTTTTTTTTCTCGGGACAAAAAACTTTTTTACGAATTAAGAAAAAAAACCAACTTTATTTTCAATAACATAGATTACATGAATAAAAAATATGTTTTGAAGGTCTTTAATGTATTATTTGCCCCCTATAGTAATGTTGAATGGAATCAAATTATGTTATGAATACCGTTCTGATTATATTTTTTTTCAAAAAAATTTGAATCAAAGAATTAAATTGAAAAAAAATCATCACTCATCAATCCCAACAAATTATGAATGGTCGGTACGCAATGCTAAATCTTTAATTTCTTTTAAGAATCTAGTGCTTATAAAGTATACATTTAAATGTGGATTGAACTAATTTTGCGTGAAAACAATAATCGTTATATTGCATGTTTTACACGTAAAAGTATTTTTTTAATCATGAAAAATCATAAGCTCATTTGATATTTAATAAAAGAGCAACAACAAATTCGAATTTTGAAAAAGAGATGCGAAAGATACCAAAGGGATATTCAAACTCATAAGCCGAAAATAAACTAGCAATGCCATGGCAAAATAACGAAAAACAACGAAAATTCAAACACAGTACACAAAACACATCATAGGAAATGAAGACTGAGCAACACGAACCCAACAAAAAACTGGGGGTGATTTTACTTGCTCCGGAAGGGTAATCAGATACTGCTCAACATGTGGCACCCGTTGTGTTGTTAATGAAAGTACGCACCCTGTGGTAAGTTTTGAATAGGTAGGTATACTTATATGTTTTGAAGTTTAGTGTGACGTCCATTTTCACTGAACTAGTACACATTTTTGTTTAGGGGCCAGCTGAAGCCCGCCTCCGGGTGCTGGATTTTCTGGCTGTGTTGAAGACCCATTGGTGGCCTTCGGCTGTTTTCTGCTCTTTGGTCGGGTTGTTGTCTCTTTGACACATTCCCCATTTCCATTCTCAATTTTAGAATGTTTTTATACTGAAATTAACCAGACCACCAGAGCATGAGGTCAAGGTTAACTGACAAGTACTAACTGCAAGATCTCATCACCTATACTCTTTACAAATTTATTGCAAACTTAGTGTAATTGAAAGTAAGATATTATTGGTAAGGGGACGACCATTTGATATTCGAGGGAGGGATGGGGGCTGGAGGATTCTAAACATGAGTATCCTGGCCTGGTAAAAGCTGAAAATAATTAACATTACAAAAGACAGGATGAAATTGAATATTCTAGAACACAAAATACAGGAATCAATTGCGTACAAAACTGTAAATATAAAAAAAGCATACATGTGTAGCAACAGATAAAAATGAATAGTCAATTCGAAAAAATATCCTCCTCCCCAGAAAATCAAATGGTAATCGCCTGATGAAATTAAAATTTGAGAACAACGTCGCCTTTATAAATATCATCTTTAAATACGTCTACAAATCTAAAATAACTTGAAATCATGCAAATTAATCAAATATTTGGATTGATCACGTGAACGCGTATACTTAATGTTTCAAGTTTTTATGTAATCACAGAATATTAATATTTACCTTTTCTAGTTTTATTGAAATTTTAATCATAGAATGAATACAGTTAATCGATTACAACTAGAGTCGAGTCGTATATTTATTCTATCCACCTGCAATATTTGGTTTATGACTATCTTAATTGTTTAGAGAGAAAAAGACGACCAGATAATTTTAACCAATCAATAATGTCTACTTCAATTTAGTCGGGTATTTAGTGAAAGGTTTTTTTTTATTTACATGTACTGAATACTACAGCTAGGTAATTGCTTTATTATAAATTAGGCCGTTGGTATTCTCAATTGAATTGTTTCATATTTTTCATGCCGGGGACTTTTATAGCCGACTATACTATATGGGTTTTTCTCATTGTTGGAGGCCGTACGGTTACCTATAATAGCTTACATCCACTTAATTCAACTCTTGTGGATAGTTCTCATTCGCAATCATACCACATCTCCTTATTTATATATATATATATATATATATATATATATATTTATATATGCTGTGTACAAGTTGCCATTTTGTACAGGTTATAACACGTACAAAAATATTGTATAATTTTTATGTTATAATTTGTACAATGCAAACATACAGGTTATAACATGTACAAAATATTGCTTAACAATGGTTTTATCCTGTACAAAATTTGAAAATAAATTTAAATAAAGCAGAATATACATGTATGTTTGAAATTTATTAAATAATAAAGAACAATAATCAAAAGCAAAAGAAGGTGCATTATTTACAGGATGCATAAAATACTACTTTTTCGTATATTTTAGAAACCAGTTTTGTTTACTTGTTGCTACAAGACAGAGACATGTGACACCTTGAGTTGCGCAAAACTTTCATTTAAGAACTAAATGCTTCTTTATGTAAATTCATTGGGGTATAAAAGCGTTGACCGAAGTACATTTTGTAAGAAGCGCGTAAAAATGTACGCACGGTCAACGCTTTTACAACCCTATGGAATTACTAAAAGAATCATTCAATACTTATAATTACACTTTTTAGCTATGATCATGAAAACACGATTACTATCAAGTTTTTCTTTTTTTTACCTGTGAACTTTATTGTGGAAACGTGTGTCATCATGTATGTTTCAAATCATGCAATTCATTTCGAAATGAAGAATGACGTGAGATTGCTCTTAGCCAATCAAAATAACGTACAATAATGAAACATACATCTAATGTAATTATTCTTCTACATTTACCCCTACCAGACTTACAACTGCTTTTCTTACACTGACAATTCACAAAACCTTGCCCTCCACTCAATGATATCTTACGCACTATCTCTCTCACACTCATATCACTCATTGGGACTCAAGACACATTTAAAGTTGCATTTGTAAAAAATTGAACCTGGTTTCTACTCAAGTATCCCTTTATTTGTCTAACTTTAGTTCCAATTATATAGCCGCCTTGTTCATTCACATTCATCACCACGCCTTTTATGTTTCTCTCGTCGACAGGGCCCCTATCAAAGGACGGAATTGGAATGATAACATTATGACCATGGGAGAGAACAGTTAATCTAGTTTTTGTGTTTTTTGTCTAAGCATCAGCTTGTACCTGTTGGCCAGAAGGGGCCCTCTTTCGTGCACGCTTGATGTCAATATATGAAATTTCAGACAAACCCTCACTAGTATTGACATGAGGAATATCACCAACAGAAAGCGCCCTCTTACGAGGAAGTATACCTAGTGGCGGATCCGGGGGGGAACCCCCTTTTTTTGACGATCAATATATTTTAATGGGGACATATAGTTGGACCCCCCTCTTTATCCTGGGTTAGGAACCCCCCTTTTATAAATGACTAGATCCGCCCCTGATACCAGTAGATGTCATGCTGATACTTGCTTCATCAGCCATGTTAGCATCACTTAATTCAATTACCATTGTTTCTGTTTCTAACTCAATGGTTTGTTCATTGTTGTCTGCTGAATCATGACCATTCAATTCACCATCAGTTTCAGTGTTAGTATAGCCGCACACTAAACTAAATATTGCAAACGATTAGTGCATCAAATTTGAGACACGAAAAATTTCCAAATTGAAGTCATTTATGTATTTTATTTTCTTCAAAATAAGACAGACAAAAGTTCCTACAAAGAATGCATGTGATCTCTACGTTCCTTGTATCTGGCGAATAGTTGTCTCATTGGCTTCATACCACATCTCCTTTTTACATTGAATAAAATATTAGATGTTAAATGCTTGATGGAAATAGATAAAACTCCGTCTTTATCTCATTCTCCCCCCCCCCCCAAGACATTTATCTATAGATTTTTCTTAAATGTTGTCATCGAGAACTTCCTGTCAATTACAATATAATACAATAATACAAGATACACAAATTTGAATATTTCTTTATACCCTCAGGACGTATGGACAATTCGTTATACGAAACATAAATAAATTATCACTATAAATTTCTTGTAATAATGAATTTGACTAATCACGATGAAAATAATTTAGTTAATAAAAGTTTACAATTATAAGCAAAAAGTTAACAAAATGATTATGTGACAAAAAATTGTAAAGGTTTACTCTTTAATAATATAGTCTCGTTTTATGAACCTGACTACTTGAAAATGTGAAAAAAAACTAAAAGATTAAATCAGAGACATTTATACCCTGACACCATAAGTTCACCTCCTCGTGTAGCTTTTGTTATGTAGGTTTTTAAGCGATCGAATACAATTTAATGTACCGTTAGCAGAAAACAAACAACCGTTAAACCGGTATTCGGGTCAGTACACACGAACTCTTGTGTGAAATACAAAATATAATTAAGTCCATTAATTTACAATATGTATCGGCTGGTACATTTCTTATATATGATGAAGTTATGATGAATATAAACGAGAAAAATAAAGAAAAAACTGACAATATTTAAAAAACAAACAAAAGAGGGTAGACAATCTGTAACACTGAAATTTCCCGTCAAATGCATTGTCGTCAAGCATGAACATCTCCTTTTGCTCTTATGCCTACATTCTAACTGGTATCTAGCTCATTCAGTGGCATTATTTCAATTGCATACCCCTCCCCCTATTCGAGGAAGTCTAGCTAATAAGTGGGTGATTTAACTTCAATGTTTCATGGTCATTAACTTCTAGTATATTAAAATGCTATAACGAGGAAATGTTATTACTTGAGGTTAAAGAATAAATAAAAATAAAATTTGTCATTCAAATGTCTTACCTTTTTCTTTTTAAATGTCAGTATATCGATCGACACTACACACATCAGTTGGCAAATCGCTGTATACGCCCATAGGCCTGTTAATACAACGGGAGGGAAAATAATTGGACCATACTATAATGTGTTTGTCACTTAAAAGTAAATATACACGAAAATGTGTCACAAATGTAAAAAGTTGAAGATTTTGTGCACGTTTAAAATATTTTCGTTGGCAAGATTGATGATGCGTTAATCCATTCAGCTTTAAATGGTTTCGTATTTGAACAATTGAATTCAACAAACGATTTATAAGGCAATTAATTACCGATACATTTAGAGATGAGTATCATCAGTTTAAATGGTTTTCAATATCTCTTGATGTGCAATTGTTATACATTTAAATGAAGTAATGATGAAAATATGCACTTCGGCCGGACACGTGAGAGTAGGGATAAAGTCACCAAAGATACTACCTATAATATAACACTTACTAATATTAGATTTTAAAACATACCGACCTCTCATGTACAAAATAAACCCTCATGATCTGAAATGACGTTGAAAAGTTGATTAAAAATGTTTAATGTGTTTTATTTTTCAAAGCAATACCAATATAAATAGGGAACACAATGTTGTATTAAAATAGTTCCCTCAGCTAATGGCACCAAAGACAATGCATTTACATATTATATGTAAGGGACAATTTATTTTATTTAATTCCAATTCGGATAAAATAATCTGTAACATATAAGAAAACTTTTGAAGAAAGATAATGAAATTTTATAGTACGCGTGTGTGAAGAAATTATAAAAAAAATCAATGAAGAATGTGTCCCAGGTATTAAGCATTGTTTATAAGTTTCAAGACGTTTGGTTGAGGCAACATTTAGAGAACGGGAACAAAAAATCTGCAATTTTTCCATATATAAATGGGTAAAACTCCAGAACGGTAGAAGTGACCCACCCAAATTCCAACTTGATCTGTGTTTTGTAGTAATAAGCATTTTGTATAAGTTTCATAACATTTGGTCGAGGCAAACTAAATTTAGATGAACGGAAACCAATTTTGGGACGTACGCACGTACGGACGGACAAGTACTGTCCCTCTGGTGACGACAGGGGCATAACACAATTTACTTAATACCAAGAGGCCTGAAATACTGAATTGGATGCATATTATCATCATACAAATATCAGAATCAACATCCAGATTTTCCTTGTTATTATTATAACTACTTTGAATTTATTATAATTATTGTATTTTTTCTACTTCTTATTTAAATGGCACTTATTTTGTATCTTAATAATAATATTTCACTATACCGCATTCAAAACCTCATAATTTTAGTAAACCACGATATAAACTACATTGTACTGTTTTGCTAATCCATTTGTATGATCTTTAATCCGATGGAGAGTTTCAAAGATTGTATTGAACGAAGTAATAATAAACTATTAACTTTAAAGTACTAATAAACTATTAACTTTAAAGTACTAATAAATACTAGTAAGAGTATAAGAACATAGAGTGGATAAACATATCACAAAGATCAAACCTCATATAAGTTATTGGCACCTATATCCTAACATTTGTTTTCAATTTATTGAAAACATCAAGAAGTTGAAAAGTTCCAAGAACAGAACCTTAGAAAATCCGTCTTATCTTAACCATACACAAATCATCTTCTTTTCCAAATACATTTTGTATATTAAAAAAGAGTTTATAACTGTTCTTAATCATGACAGTTTCTGAAAGGTCTACAATGATGAGTTAATTGAAAAATCCAACTCGTAGGATTCATTTAGGCTAAATATTGTTCTGTAGCAAACCATCACCTACATATCCGAATTTCCAGTTGTTATGATGATGTGTAAGATGAACGAAAATAACAATTTTCAAATGTATTGAAAATGTATGAAAAACTTTACACTGCATTTCCGAGTTGCTTCGACAGAAGAAGAAGTCATGGGACAATAAACAAATAGAGCAAAAACGAAAACCAACCCGAATCCATAAAACTAATCAGCCATACTAAAACAGAACATGGTCTTGAATACAAATAAATACTTTCGGCAAGCGTTTTGTGTTTTCACATGCTGACAAAGCAGTCAACAACGTTGTCGTTGTTTGACCTAAATGCTATACGGAAATACTCAAAACTGAGAAAACAAATTAGAGTACGATTTCACCTACAACGTCATCGTCATTATACATCACCTACTTTGCATGATGTCTCTATTAATGACTTGCTGCCATTTATACAAAAGCCGTTAGGTATTCATCACATTCGCACGAAACTTTATTCATTACCCCTTTCAAAACTTCATTCTCTGTTGGAAACCACTGTTACAAACCCTCATTCAAACCAATACAAACTTACAGCTATCATTTCGGATATTGCAAGTCACAGACTTTTCAAACAAGTTCGCATTGGAAAAGATGAAAAAGAGAAAAGATCTTTTCTTAAACTTTCATTTGCCAACAAAGTTCTCGATGGCGTCAACTTAGGCAATATCCTTCATCATAAATTAGTTCAGTCGAAAATACCTCCTTATTTTAAAGATCAGTCTGTACCAATAATTTCTTATACCTATACCAAACCAATTAGAACTAAAATTTTCAAATACAAGCTCGTTTTGCCGGATCTCAACATTGACGACTTCAAGTCTAAACCTCCTGATTGCACCTGTGCTAGTTCCCAATTCACATGCAATCCGGCTGGCCACGTTATTATCGGAGACCTCAACATTTTCAATAACACTTCCCTGCGAAATTTGTTATCCAAAGGTCCGAAATATCGTGAGCCTAAATCCATCAATTGGAAACACAACTTCAAAATACTGATGGATTCAGTCGACGATTATGACAGACAATGAGCTAAACGCAAGAATGAAGACGTAGATACTCTTTCCGAATGGATTAAGGCTGTAAGGTCGTTGATACAAATCCGAATAAAGAAACTAAATGGGTCTATCAATACCCACGCTACGTCAATTTTAAAGACCCAAATGTTGCAAAACACTTGTCCTACCTCCATGACAAATATGTTGTTATCCCCGCAGATAAAGCCCCAAACAACATCGTTTTTGTGTGTAAATATCATTACATAAACTGCTTGATAAATGAATTAGGTATTGACAATTCATTTGGAAACTCAACATATACCCTCACGACACTTACCAAATGGTGAAGTTGAAATCATCCCTTCGTACATTTTACTGACGCCATCACGAGTTGGTTGACCGTTATGGAATAACCGTTTCACATATGATATCGGATATGTTCCTTATGTCGTAACTACAATACCCTTCCCTTTTCACAAATGTGACCTACCGAATTAGACTATTTACCGGATTTGTAATAAATTAGGAACACGACGGGTGCCACATGTGGAGCAGGGTCTGCTTACCCTTCCGGAGCACCTGAGATCACCCCCAGTTTTTGGTGGGGTTTGTGTTGCTTAGTCTTTAGTTTTCTATGGTGTGTCATCTGTACTATTATTTGTCTGTTTGTCTTTTTATTTTTGGCCATGTCGTTTTCAGTTTGTTTTCGATCTATGAGTTTGACTGCCCCTCTTGTATCTTTCGTCCCTCTTTTCTACTTAAGAGTATATGATATATGAACAAGCCTTAAAAACCATTGAACCGAAATCTGCTACTGAACACAACAAGATTCCAACTATGCATTCCTACCTAAGATATTTAAGACATCTAATACCTTTCTTTTTACATCCAGTAAATATTTACCTACACATGTCTGGGTTCATCTGATTTTTGCTAAGGAACTCGTTATAAAATATTACGACAAAAATATTGTTAGTAATGCCATTAAACATGTCTAGAATGGTGTGTCTAGGAAGCTCTTTTTAAGGGCACTTTGTCACCACTGACAGTTATAATTTATCTACTCTGTATAATATATCATCACAAAACCTTATCAACTTGAAATTTTCGTATTTAATTAAATTGTCTATCGATGAATCTGGATGTTACTATATCTATTGCACTCGCTGCAATTCCCTTTGCCATAATATAACTCACAAAACATACACTAAATTACAACATGTTTCAAAACGTTTGGTTTCAAGCTTATCTGATGAAACTTATTACAGCAACTTCGATTGTGCGTATGAAAACCGTTTTCTGAGTGGAGAGAATATGTTGTTAGTAGAAAGTAGCTCATGTGTATCCAGTTATAAACGCACATATAGGAAACGTGAAATATTTGAACACATCGGACAATGAAATATTAAATGGTAATGTTATACGAGAAAAAAACCACAACAAACATGCACACAACAATAGGACAGAATCAGGGTTATGTAGAAAAACTAGATTAAAACCCATAGAAGGAGGTATAACTTTTTATAAATAGAAAAGGCAGGATATCATTGACGTGTACATCACATCCTCTTTTATTAATACATATTTAAGTAAAGATGAAAAGCTCAAACTCAAAGTTGAAAGATGTTTTGTATTAAATGAATTATATGATAGATTTGTTAAAGTTATTTACAACGTGCCACGATTCAATGTGTATTACCACACGTGGTTTCTATAATGATTTCCCCCTAAAAAGGAGGTTGCTAATTGCAACTTATGAACCAATGGTTTTTTAGTTAATAGATATAAGAAGATGTGGTATGAGTGCCAATGAGACAACTCTCCATCCAAGTCACAATTTGTAAAAGTAAACCATTATAGGTCAAAGTATGGCCTTCAACACGGAGCTTTGGCTCACACCGAACAGCAAGCTATAAAGGGCCCCAAAATGACGAGTGTAAAAAAAATAGGGAGAAAAAACTGGAACCAGCGATGTTCCACTTTTTGTTCTCAGAACCTTTCAATTTTTTTTTATCTGTTATGACATCACCAAATTAGACATATAGTTGGATTTTTTACTTGCCATGATCAACACGACCGATGTAAAGACTGAAGCAGGAACTGCATATCATTCAGGAGCACATGACTTCCTCCCGGATTTTCTTGGGTTCCTGTTGTTCAATCTTGTGTTTACTGTGTAGTGTTTTGTGAACTGTTGTTTGTCTGTTTGTCTTTGTTCTTGGGGACACAATGTTGTCCGTCCATCTTCGATTTATGTGACAAATCAATTGATTTCGTTGAAGATCAAAGGTTATTATTCTTCACATATTTATTCCGTTTCTGTATCTGTACCTG